CCCCTCCCCCTCCCCCTCCTCCTCCCCCTGCCGTGCCCTCCCCGAGGACGTCGCGGAGGCCGCCTCCCCGCCCCACGCGTGGCAGCACCCGCCCTCCTTCCTGTGCCCCGTCTCGCGGCAGTGCATGCACGACCCGGTGGTGCTCTCGGACGGGCACACGTACGAGAGGCAGCACATCGAGCGCTGGCTCTCCGAGGAGGAGGGGGAGGAGGAGGGGGAGGAGGAGGAGGAGGAGGAGGAGGAGGAGGAGGAGCAGAAGGAGTAGGAGAAGGAGGAGGAGGAGTAGGAGGAGGAGCAGGAGCAGGAGGAGAAGGAGGAATAGGAAGAAGAGGAGGAGGAGGAGGAGGAGGAGGGCGGAGGGGGAGGGGGAGGAGGCAGGGGGGAGGGGGAGAAGGAGGAGGAGGAGGAGGAGCGAACGAGTAGTGACTCCGAACTAGACGGCTTTCCCAGAGATCCAACGTATTGAAAACATCAAGACGGAGGTTCTCCTCAATTTTCAATCTCTGGGGGTCCTCGCGGGGCCCGGGACCTTCAAAAAACGACTCAGGATGAAGAACCGGTCCTGGGGAACAGGTCTACTTCGGGGGACCGCGCAATGAAAGAATCACGACATCGGATCTCTGGGGGCATGCCCGTGCCCCGCTGACCCCTCCCCGCGTGCTTTCCGCCTGTTTGGGGGGCCTCCTCGGAGGGACCTCGCCGCCGCCGCCGGGTTCTCCTCGGCACTCGATCGGTGGTGGACAGACCTTCTACCCTGACACGTCGACTAAGGGATTGGCCGTTTTCGGTTCGCGAGAGGGCGTCGCGGCCGTCGTTTTTGCGGGTCCAGGTCCGTCGGTGTCGATCCTAGACCGCTTTCACTAAGGGGAGGTTTACCAAAGGGAGGTTTGTCCACCGCCGACTCTAGGCCAGAACACACCCCGGGAGAGGTCCGGAGGGTGACCTTTTGGTTTCCCCAGGCTCGCCCACAGCACCACCTCGCCCGTGACCCGATTGGAGCTCTCCCAGACCGACATGTACCCGAACCACGCGCTGCGCAACGCCATCGACGAGTACTTCAACGAGGTCTTCTGCGTGCACCGGCATGCCATCCGGAAGACGGTCCGCAGCCGCCGCGGCAGCAGGGATCTCTCCGCAGACGGCCCGCTCGCGCGCACGCTGGGCGCACTGATGCAGAGCTCGCTGCTGGTGAACGCCGACCACAGCGTGGAATATATCCTGCGACAGATTATGTGCGAGGCTTATGGTGTTCCAACTTACCTTAGCCTTGATCACCAGAAAGAATTTCGAGCACCTGAAGAAAGGACCGAAACTCTAGGGTTTTCACGCGTCGTGGAGTCACTCGTCCGACACTGTTCCGACACTGTTTCGATACTCTTTCGACACTTTTCTGGGTGCTCGAAATTATTTCTGGGATGTGGACTGTAAGTACGATGGGAACAACCTAATACGAGGCCAAGAAGCTGGTCGGCGCAGAGGTCGCGTCCGTCTTCCTGGTGGACGCCGCTCGCCAGGAGCTCTACTCCACGGTGAACTCGACAGACGCGGAGCTGCGCATCCCCATCGCCGCTGGCATCGCCGGTCACGTTGCCACGACGGGGGAGACGCTCATCATCAACGACGCGTACGCGGACGCCCGCTTCAACAAGGCGGTCGACAGGCAAACGGGCTTCAAGACGCGGAACGTGCTGTGCGCTCCACTGAAGGTCAGGAAGGGCGACGTCGTCGGCGTGGTGCAGCTCATCAACAAGACCAGCGGCGGCGTGATGGCCCCAGACGGCTCCCCCGGCGCGCTGCCAGGGGAGGTCTCCGAGGACCCAGCGGCGGGCCACCCGTTCACGGCGGACGACTCGCACTTCCTGCAGGTGTTCGCTTCCCAGGCGGCCACGGCGGTGGCCAATGACATCTCCCACGAGCTGGGCCAGGCGCGGCAGCCAGCGACGCAGCCGGAGGCGATACCAACGGTGCCGGTGCCGAAGCCGAAGCCAGAGGCGGCCCCGCGGGTCCTGCTGGTGGATCCGGCGCCGGCGAAGGCCCAGCCGCCGCGCAGGCAGCCGAGCGAGGCCTCCGGCATTCCGCGGGAGGCCACTGCGCTGCTCGAGCAAGCGCTGGACGGCTGGGACCTGGACGTGGTGCAGCTGGCGGCGCTGACCGGCAACCGGCCGCTGAGCTCTCTGGGCTGCTTCCTGTTCGAGCGGCTCGGGCTGGTGGCGCGGTTCGGCCTGAACGGCGAGAAGCTCCGTGCCTTCTTCCTGGAGCTCGAGCGCGGCTACGACGACGCCGTGCAGTACCACAACCGCCTCCACGTGGCCTCCGTGCTGCACCTGACCCACGCGGCACTGCGCGGCGGGGCCCTCGCGCAGAAGGCCGCGGCAGCGCTCCGCGGCGGCGGGGTCGAGGCGGACGGGGCGCTGGAGACGATGGCCTGCCTGCTGGCGGCCGCCGCCCACGACTTTGAGCACCCCGGGCGCACGAACGACTTCCTGGTCAAGACCGGCCACGAGCGGGCCGTGTGTTACAACGACAGGCACGTGAACGAGAACCACCACGCTGCCCGGTCCTTCGCGCTGCTGCAGCGCCCCGGCCTGGATTTCCTGGCCGCGCTGCCGCGGGAGGACTTCCGCCGCCTCCGGGGGCTCTTCGTGGAGCTCATCCTCGCCACCGACATGGCGTCCAGTAAGAGCATCCTGGAGTCGTTCACCGCCGCGCTGGACGGGTCCGCCGCAGCACCTCTGGCGCCGTCGTCGTCCGCATTGTTGGGATCGCCGGCGGCCCCCGAGGACGGCGGCTTCCTGCCGGGCTCGGCCGCGGAGGCCCTCCTGCTGCTGCAGGTGGCGCTCAAGTGCGCAGACCTCGGCCACCTCACCCTCAGCCGCGCCTCGCACCTGCACTTCGTGCGCGGCCTGGAGGAGGAGCTCTTCGCGCAGGGCGACCAGGAGAAGGCCCTGGGCCTGGAGGTGTCGTTCCTCATGGACCGGGAGAAGCCGGGCGTCACCTCCTCCCAGGTCGGCTTCTTCGAATTCGTCGCCCTGCCCATGTTCCGGTGCATCGCGAGGGCGTGCCAGGGTTTGCGGCCGATGCTCCAGGGCGCCGAGGACAACTACCTGTACGGTTGCGCTGCCGCGCAAGTCCGCCCTCGAATTCGGGCGCTCGGGCGGGCGTCTGTGTAAGGTAAGGGTACATAGTGGCATGGCTTCTGGGCCTCCCACAGGGGGTCCGAGTAGAAGGGTCCAAGGATTGCGCCGCATCGACGAAGCATCTGCGATGAGGCTCGATGTGGAGCCGAATTTTCTCCACGCCGAGGCGCCGATGCGTTGCCGACGTCGGCGATGCGTCGTCGATGCGTCGCCGATGCATCGGCGATACATTCTCGATCAGGAGGCGCGGTCCTGCGACCCGATTTACTCGGACCCCATTGGGGAGGCCTTCAGAGGGGGGCCCGATGACCTGGGGGAGGGCAGGGAGATGCCATGGAAGATCCCCGGTCATCTGATTCGGGTACTTTCTCTGTTTCTTTGGAGCGCAGGAATCGCATGTACGTTTTCAAGAAAATGAGCACGTGGGCATCAGTATTGGACGTGGGCATCAGTATTGACTCGCACAAAGCGGAACTAAATACGCAAACAAACACAAGCCAATGGCACGACACACACACACACACACGCACACATTCATATACATATACATATACATATACATATACATATGCATATACATATACATATACAATCCGCACCATTGGTCTCTCCGCCAGCGATATGGCAACACAGCCAACCGTACGAGCAGTGAACATATCCACTGCCAACCGTCTGCCAATTGGCGTGGAGAATGGCGCTCGGAAGTGGAAGCGAACCTGGGGGGAAGGCCTCTTAAAGCAAACCGTGCACGTGCGAAGCTGAGATTGGGAGAGGAACGGCTCCACATATATTCGGCCGAGGCCAAGGTCGAGAGCGAAAACCAAGGACACACACACACACACACGCACGCACACACACACGCACGCGCACGCACACGCACACGCACACGCACACGCACACGCACACGCACACGCACACGCACACGCACACGCACACGCACACGCACACGCACACGCGCACGCGCACGCACGCACGCACGCACGCACGCACCCACGCACACACACACACACACACACACACACACGCGCACACACACACACACACGCACACGCACACGCACACGCACGCGCACACGCACGCGCACGCGCACGCGCACGCGCACGCGCACGTGCACGCGCACTCGCACACCCCCACACACACACACACACACACACACACCCTTTGGCTTCGCCGCCGCGCGCGGGGCGGCGCGGCGTAGAGCAGCTCAGACGAGCGCGCGCACTTGCTTGGCTCACGCGGCGCGCAGAAATAGACACACACACACACACGCACACGCACACACGCTCACGCACACACAGTCAGCCATGATAGTAAGGATGGGGCAACTTTCCAAGGCCACCCTTGCATCCTTGCCCCTTCGGTATTCGGCATCCTTCGTCATTCTGCTGCGCTCCGCACGGAACACGTCAACATGGCGTTCCAAGGCCCCTGCATCCTTACCGCGCATCCTTGCTATCCTGGTCGAGTGTAGACTTTCTGGTGATGCGGGGCGACCCTTCCCTAGGCGCCACGGAGACGACAAACCTCACGGGTGAGGCAGGGGAAACGGAGAGCGGCCAGCTGCCGCGGTTATACACACGCCAGCCGCTGCAAGCGCGGCGGCGGATACTGGAAGGGCCTCCAGGGCCAGGAGGGGCAGCAGCGGGCCGGCTCCGCGAGCGAGCCCTTGGCCACCCGAGCGGAGGACGGCCCGGGCGACAGTGAGGCGGCCTCCGACGACGCCGGCCAGGTGGCCGGGCGCCGCAGGAGCGGCAGAGCCAGGCAATGGGGCTGGACCTACCCGGTGGTTTGGCCATCTCGCGGGCCGCTTTTCTGTTCTTTCTTTGTGTTTTGCATTCCAGGCGGAGCGAAGGCAGCACGAGGAAGAACGAACAGCAAGACGAGAACGGAGAACCTGGAGATCCGAGGTCGTGATTTCTGCCAAGCGCGAGCCCCCGAAGTCTCGACCCATTCCCCAGGACCGGTTTTTGCTCCTGAGTCGTTTTTTGACGGTCCCAGGGCCCGGCGAGGGCCCCTTAGAGGCCGAAAGCTGAGAAGAGCCCCCGTCTCGATTTTTTCAATACGTTGGATCTCTGGGAACGCCGTCTAGTTCGGATGCAACTCCTGGGAGGTCAAATTCTGATTTTGCCCTGGTCCGACATCCGTCTTTATCCCGCGCAATCCCGCTTAATCCGGCTTGATCCCGCTTCATCTTGCTTAATTCCTCCCATTCCGAGGCCCACTCTGGCGCAACAGCCCCGCAACGGAGCTTCATCCTCCTTACTTACATCTTTCCGACGAGAACCTCCCAGTAGTGGCCTCCTAGAATACGTTGGATCTCTGGGGACGCCGTTTAGTCCGAGGCCCGAAAACCATCACTTCACTAATTTTGGGCCCCAGGGCCCACTGAGGCCCCAGGGGCCCCAGATTAGTAAAGTGATGTTTTCCCCCACGTAAGGACCCCGAATTTCATCACTTCACGAAACCGAACCCAGGACGAAAGTCAGGGGCCGAATTGCTGCTGTGATGCAACATCGGTCTCGTATTTATATCCAGTGCGTCTTGCACTTTCTTGGAAGGGGCGCCGCAAGGCCGAGGCGCACTGGATATGGATAAAAATTGAGCCTTTTGGAGGCATATTATAATCCATATCCAGTGCGCCTCATGTTTCTTGGGAAAAGAATCCGAAACTCCAAGACGCACTGGATGTGGATAAAGACATTGCCCGCAACGCCGTTTAGGTTCAGCCCTGCCAGGCAGCGCAAGGCCAAGTGGCTGGCCGCGGTGCGCTGCCGCACGCCGAGCCCCTGAGGGCGTCGGCGGGGCGTCGGCGGCTGCCGCGCGCCGGGGGGGGCTGCTGCGTCGGGCCGCCGCCTCTGCCGCTGGACCTGCCCGCGCGGGGCCGGCGGCTCACGGGCGGGGCCCCGGGGCAGAGGCCTCCTGGACTTGTCGGGGCTGGGAGCCCTGCCCATCCGCCGGGTCCGTCCCTCGAGGCCCCGGCTTCGAGCCGCCGACTGAGGCTCCACGTCAGAGCCCCGAATCATCAGGGGTAACTCGGGTCAGGGCCAACTCGGGGTTCCTTTTTCGGGAATCCGAACCCGTCTTACCCCGGACCCGAGTTACCCCGGATAACTCGGCGTCCAGAACCCCGAATCATCAGGGGTAACTCGGGTCAGGGCTAGCTCGGGTTCCTTTCTCGGGAATCCAAACCCGAGTTACCCCGGACCTGAGTTACCCCGGATAACTCGGGCGCCCAATCCTAGACTTGGCGCCCGGGGCTGGACAGACCTCCTACCCTGACACGTCGATTAGTGAATTGGCTGTTTTCGGTTCGCGGGAGGGCGTCGCGGCAGTCATTTTTGCGGGTCCAGGTCCATCGGTTTCGGTCCCAGGCCGTTTTCACTAAGGGGAGGTCTACTAAAGGGAGGTTTGTCCAGCGCCGAACTTGGTATCCCTCGGACGTGGGCACTTCTTCTCGGCGGGGATTCGCGAGGAGCATCCTGGATCATCCGGCGACAAAAGCCACGCGCGAAACCGGAAAAAAAAAACACGGAATGGACGTCCGAGCGGTGGCCAGTAGATGGGGTCGGAGTAGATGGGGCCGGTGGATTGCACAGCATTTGCGATGCATCGCCGATGCATCGGCCATGCATCGGCCATGCACTGGCGACGTCGGCGATGAATGGGCGACGTCGGCGTGGAGAAAATTGAGCTCCACATCGAGCCGCATCGCCGATGCATCGCCGATGCATCGGCGAACCTAAACGGCGTTCCCAGAGATCCAACGTACTAAAAGAATCGAGACGGAGGTTTTTCTCAACTTTCGGCCTCTAGGGGCCCTCTCCGGGCCCCAGGACCGTCAAAAAATGACTCTGGATGAAAAGCCCGTCCTGAGGAATGGGTTGAGATTTCTGGGGACCGCGCATTGAAGACATCACGACACCGGATCTCTGGGAGTGGCGAAGCGTTCTAGCTCGCCTATAGGCGCACCCAATGATGCTCTAAGAGCCTTTTGTCGTGTCAGCGAAATGTTCTTAGAACATTTCTGGCTGGGGGTGTCTTTTCTTAACAAATCGGGCGTATGTTCCAAAAACGTTGTTTTGTTCTTGAAACATTTTTGGGTTTAAAGAACATTTCGTATTTCGTGGTAGGCCAATAGGAATGCCGGGATCACAAACCAAACCCAGACGTGATCGCAACGTAAAAAAAGATCAGGACGGCGAGTTTTTCATTACTTTCGGAACCTGCAGGTCCTCGCCGGGCCCCAGGACCGTCAAACCTCGACTCAGGATGAAAAAGCGGTCCCAGGGAAAGGGTCTGGACTTCCGGGGACGCCGTATTGAAAACATCAGGGCGCCGCATGTCTGGGAATCACCCCTAGCGGTAAGAACACAATGAAGACGTGGCTTCATTGCTCCACGTCGTCGCATTAGGGATAAGGATGCTGGGCGTGTTGCTCTGATGCATCAGCATAAAAGACCCCCTACCCCAATGTTTTTGGCCCTCTTGATTTCGGCCCCTCCCAAAGGGTTGGGGGTTCTTGCCTGGTTGATCAGAGAGGGAACCGATATCGCCGCCCTTGCCTCGTGTTCGCTGGCGTGGGCCTCCGGGGAGGCCCGCTGCGCCGCGTCTGGATTCGCCGCGGGGTGCCGGCCAGAGCGCAATCGGGGGGGGGGGGTCATGGGCGCACAGGCGTCGGTGTCTTCGTGTGCCTCCCCAGGGAGGGACCCAGAGATCCAAAGTTTTGAAACATCGGAGTCCTAGAGATTGACACCAACACCAAGATCGGCGGTGTGCCTCCACCGAGGGAAGACGACCCCGATCTCGGTGATGGTGGTAGTATTCTGGCTTCCAAGGTGACCGAAATATTTCCACCAACACCGAAATCTAAGATCATCATCTCCCTGTGGAGGCAAACCCCTGTGCTGGTGTTGGTGCCAATTTCCAGGCCTCCAACGAGACGGAGTTTTTGTTTATATTTTCGGCCTCTAAGGGGCCCTCGCCGGGCCCCGGGACCGTCAGAACACGACTCTAGGATACAAGAACCGGTCCTGGGGAATGGGTCGAGATTTCTGGGGACCGCGTGTTGAAAAAAACACGACCTGGGATCTTTGGGTTGTTCGTTCTCGTCTTGTTTTTCGTTTTTCCTCGTGCTGCCTTCGCTCCGCCCGGAATGCAAAACAAACATTTACAATTACTCCGACGGAATGACCCCACATGAGAATCCTCTGCGCGAATCTGGAAAAAGCCCTCACCGTCGTCCTCGTGGTTGGTGAGGCGTCCTGGCTGTCTCTTCTGCGTATATTTCTTCTCGCCCTGGCGCGGGGATACGTGCCGGGAATAGCGCTCTGGGAACACGACGAACACAAAGTGGCCTGCAGTTGGCTCCGGACATGCAGAATGTGGCCCGGGAGTGGTGTTCTGGGAACGCGAAGAACACGAAGTGGCCTACAGTTGGCTCCGAGCATTCAAAATGTGGCCCGGGAATGGTGTTCTGGGAGCACGAAAAACACGAAGTCGCCTACAGTTGGCTCCGGGCATTCAAAATGTGGCCTGGGAATGGCGTTCTGGCAGAGCGAGAGCCCAAAAGTGGGGACAGTTAGAGGAATTGGATGACCCGCTCGGATTAGTAACATGATCCGCGGGCCCCACAGGGAGTGGGCTCCCGCTTGAGACTTCCTCGCAATTCACTCACAGACGAGGCCCATGTGGCCTGGGAATGGCGTTCTGGCAGCGCGAGAGCCCAAAAGTGGCGACAGTTAGAGGAATTGCATGACCCGCTCGGATTAGTAACATGATCCGCGGGCCCCATAGGGAGGGGGCTCCCGCTTGAGATTTCCTCGCAATTCACTCACAGACGAAGCCCATGTGGCCTGGGAGTGGCGTTCTGGCAGCGCGAGAGCCCAAAAGTGGCGACAGTTACAGGAATTGGATGACCCGCTCGGATTAGTAACATGATGCGCGGGCCCCATAGGGAGGCGGCTCCCGCTTGAGACTTCCTCGCAATTCACTCAGGCGAGGCCTAAGGCGAGTGAGTGAGTGAGTGAGTGACTGACTGACTGACTGGTGATGATGATGATGATCATCACACTCTCTCACGTGCACACTCATCATCATCATATGTGAGTTCCTGGGCGTGTGAGCGAGTGAGTGCCAATGAGTCACTGAGTGAGTGAGTGAGCATGCGAGTGAGTGAGTGAGTGAGTGAGCTAGTGAGTGAGTGAGCGCACGAAGACAGAAGAGGAGAGGGGGTGAGGCGAGGAGGTTCCTGCGCGGGGTGCCTAGAGAAAAGGAATGAGTGATGATGATGATGATGCTGATGCTGATGCTGATGATGATGATCATGATCATGATCATGATCATGATCATGATGATGCTGATGATGATGATGATGATGATGATGATGCTGATGATGATGATGATGATGCTGATGATGATGATGATGATGCTGATGATGATGATGATGCTGATGATGATGATGATGATGATGATGATGATAATGATTATGATGATGATGATGATGATGATGATGATGCTGATGATGATGATGATGATGATGATGATGATGATGATGATGATGATGGTGGGTTCCTGCTCCTGCGCGGGGTGTCCAGAGAAAACAAGAGCCGCACTTGGAATGCGGGGAAAAGCACGCACAGAAGAGCGGCCCGCGAGAGGGCCAAACCGCCGGGCAGGCCCGGCCCCGGTGCCCGGCCCTGCCGCTC